CAGGAGTTAGAAAATACTTGGAATGGTTAGCTAGGGATTCAGAGGGAAATGCTGCTCTGGGTGTAGATATTGCAAAGTGATAACATATGTCCCAGTTTTTCAGCTTAGATCTCTATAGACATCTTGCCTATCAAACTGAAATCCTCCTACTTCCTATGGGCTCTCTTGAATTTACATCCAAGGTGGTCTCTGCTGGAAGTAAACTTGCAGCATGGAATGCTGTGTCTTTCTGTAAGCAAGCCCCTTGTTCTCCTCCATTACAATTAACAAGAGCTGTGAATTGCTTGAATGTGCCCTGTTCCTCAGTTTCTGCAGAGTCTTCTGGGGAATGTACATCTCTTCTTTACAAGCGGAGCTGCAGCTTATAATTTAGACTGGAAAGAGGGCACCTCTTTCATTTAGGAAGCTCTGCCTTGGGCCTGTCTAGGCTTAAAGGGGATGTGAGAAGACAGGGGAAAACATCGGTGGAGTTCCCAGATAGGAGTGAAGTACAGAAGATGGGAGGAGCAGATGCTTTTTGTTTCACTGGGCATGCCAGGGAAGCCCCTTTCCTTCTCACAGGGCGTCTGGGAAGGGGTGAGGTTTTGCATGCTCACTTCCATGCCCCAGCATTACATTTGCATCAACTTCATCTCCCTGCAATTCCATCCCTCTCCACCTTGAGTGAGGGCAGAGATGAAGATGTGGAGTGAAGCAGCCCTTGTCCCCCGAGCACTTCCCTAATTCCCTGTGGAACTGAGATGTGATGGATGGTCAGAAGTGCGACTACTGAAGAAGAGCCAGGGCCTGCTTACACTACTTACTGCTGTCATTTTAGGGGTGGGCATACAAGCTTGAGGCCCCCAGAGCAGAAATTCTCTTTAACTCTTCTAAACAAGCTTTTGGTGCCGTGTTCCTCTGGGGGCTGAGGTCCCCATACGCTGTCTCTTCCATTTCTTTCTCTTAGATGTTGTATGTTGCCTTTTCTTCTGCCTTTCCTTTCCTTTGTGTCTTTGTGCATGGGGGAGGGAGGAGGGGAAACATCACCAAGGCCCTCTGAGTAAAAACAAGGGACTCTGCTGTCCATAGCATTATAGACACTCATGCACGTGCAGTTTTATTTCCTTCCTCTAGAAACACAACTGTAATCCCCTCTGGCATGTTGTATTTATCAGCTCATGTATTTTAAATGGTCTCTAAGAAACACAATTCACCACCTTACTGAGTCTGTGTGGTCTGTCATTGGGTGGAAGGGGTTGGGACACCAAACTGGTTCTGGGACAATTTGTTTTGTCTGTCACTTCTATACTACATATACACCTGAAGTTCTGCCCCTCAAAGCAGTGGCTGGTTTTCCATTGCAATGATGGTAGTTGCAGTTGTACTGGAACCTTGTGCTGGACTGACTCCATGTTAAGTCTGTAACGATGCATGAACAGCAGCTCTGCGGGAAGAGGTTGCCCAAGCCAGCTCTGCTTCCAGCTGCCAATTGTCCAGCTGATGTGTAATGCGTGGGGAGGTAGTTCCCTGAATGGGAGGGTGTGTTACTGGTAGCTCTGGTTCCTCAGTGGATGTTGCCTTTGGGTTTCGATAACCTATTGTCAGATCCTTAAACACAGAAAACAGTTGTATGTTGATGTTGAGGTATAAGATCATCTAGTTCCAAGACCTCCAAGAGTAGGATGCTGTTTACAACGTATTTGGAACATGGCTGGACTAAAGGTAAGTGCCTTGCTTTGCTTCACTGTACACTTGAAACTCATTAAAAAGAAATGGCCATTAAAGATGCACTTTGTCCAGTGCAGGCTTATTTTAAAATTAAGTATTTATGCTCTTTATTTGCCTGTTTGGCTTGTGCTCCCCTTATGAGCGATCATTTTCTAGTTTTAGACATCACCAAAATTATACCAGAAAAATGCATGGTCAATGCTGAATTTGGAGCAGTGCAGTCTTCTTTCAAAGACGAAAGCCTTGCTGGGAAAGGAGGGTGTCTGGACTGGCTGGTAGATCAAAGCAACATGTACGGTCTAAACTTCATCACAGGTCCAGCCAGCACAACCTGAATGAACTAGTCATGCTGCAATTCCTGCCAAGTTGTGTGTTGTCTTCCTGTTCTCAGCCCTGTTCATACAGGGGAATGGGAGAAGTTCTTCCTTGGAACAGATGTGTGTCCAGACTGACTACAGCGTCTCTAAGTCCTTAGCCAAACTTACGGATTTGAGTGCTTGCTTGCTAAAGCTGGTCAACTGATGTGGAGCACAAAGCTGGGGCTGAACGTGCTGTGGAAAGTTGCCCCAGGGCAGTGCCCAACTCAAGAGTCATGTTGTGTGTGTTTGCAGAGTTGTGCGTCTAACCATAAATCCTCATGTGGGCATTTAAACTACCATGATCTGCTGGGAGCTCACCTCCTGAGGTGCCATCCTTTAAAGCACCAGCACTCCTGCTTGTTCCTGCAGTCTTATCCTGGTTGCAAATGTCCACTAAAAGCAAGGCCAAGGTTTTGGGAGAGTAATTCTTTGTGTCTAATTAGAAATTCAAGCTCTGTCTTTAAACGTGTAGCTCCTGTTTCAACTGTTTCATCCCAACACCTTCAGATTTAGTGGGGGAAATGTCTCAGCTATGCTGTTCCTAAATGTCTTAAACCTTCATGTTTTCTAGATGCTCCAGGCCTTGCTCTGGCCTTTCCTGAGGTTTCTATGCACTGGTCAAAGTAGGCTGCATGCTCTTAACAGTGGGGGAATTTGTTTTCTTGTCTCGGCTGTAAAGTAACTGAATGATGGTGGGAAAGACAAAATACTTCAGAGTAAAAATGCAGCAACACTTTAATTACACTTTAATGGACCTGGCTTCCTTGTGAAGTGACAGAGGTCCCTGCTCTGACGTAGCCGCTGGGGTTAAAAGCCTTAACTTGGAGAAGCGGTAATGGGGAAGTACAGAGGTTTTATCTTTTGTTCTGATCTCTGAGTAAATAATTACTCTGAGAGATGTAACAGATGAAGATATAGGTTTTACAAAATAGGCAACTCAGCCGTGTCTGGATATATTTCAACCCAGTGTTTCTCCTAGATATCCTACAATGCTTCCTCTTAGAAGTAACTGGGTTCCTTCACAAAACTTCCCCTGTTTACAGGCCAAAATAAAGTTGCACTTCAGCCTCCACATTCCTGATAATATTTTGACTTGCTTGTTTTGCCAGAGATTGAGTCTTTCAGAACACGCTTATTTGCTCCTTGGGTTTCCAGTATGAACAGCCCCATAACATCCTTTCCTTTGGTGCATAGACCCATTAAATGGTTCTTGCTGAGGCTAAAAGGACCTTTTCATGTTCTCTCCTGACAAGCTTTTCCAAAAGCCCTTGTACTCTTCTGAGTAATTGTACTCTTTTGCCATAATCTCCAATTACTAAGCTTATTTTAGTTCACTGCCTTTAAGCATGTAAGCAGAAGCTGAAGGCTCTTTATTCTCTCATGCTTACAAGACCCCTTTAAATATTGCACATTGGTAAGTGTAAAGAACTGCAAGACTGAACATGGCCATCCCTCTTGTGTGTTCCTGTTGTCTGTACTTCCCCGCTGTCCTTTCACCACCAGCACTGCTGCCCTTTTCATTTCTTAATGTAGCACATCTCTACCCCTTGGATTTTCTTGAACCTGTCCCAAAGGCCTGGTAACCCTTTACTCAAATTCCTTCTGGGACTGACCTCAGTCTGTGCAGACAAACCTTGCACCTATCTGTACAGCTTTTCTAAGCACTCCAGCAAGCAGAGTTTGCTTGTTAGTTCTTCTAAATGTATTGCGTATAGAATCATAGAATTGTTAGAGTTGGAAAGGACCTTAAGATCATCTAGTTCTAAGCCCCCTGTGATGGCCAGGGACACCTTCCACTAGACCGTGTCACCCAAAGCTCTGTCCAACCTGGCCTTGGATACTGCCAGGGATGGGGCATTTTCGACTTCTTTAGGCAACTTGTGCTAGTGCCTCACCACAAGAACTTCCTTGTATCTAACATCAGCTTCCCCTGTTTCAGTTTAAACCCATTCCCCCTTGTTCTATCACTACAGTCCCTGATGAGGAATCCCTCTCTGGCATCCTTGTAGGCTCCCTTCAGATACTGGAAGCTGCTCTGAG